CAGGCAATATCCAACAAGAGGGAAGTTAGCAGAGGAAATAGAACGCAGTGGGAGACACAGGGAGGAATGCAATAATTAAAGTGAACAGAGGTAAGCACTGTTAACTACTGGTACATGGAGGGGATTACAACCATTGTAATGAAACAAATTGTATGCTTTGTTAAATGTAAAACTGATGATCTGCTCTGTAAACCTTCACTCAATTCAGAATAAAAAGTTTTTTTTAAAAAAAAAGAAGTTGTCTCAGCGAAGCAAACTAAAAGGTAGAGTGGTCTGTTCTCTAGACTGGAGTAAAAATAAATTTCTCCCAAGAGTTAAGATAAACCTAACTTCTTCTGACCATATGAAAACTGTCTAGAACAGAGCTCTCTCAGATTGGAGTCCATCCTTTAGAGCAGTCAACCACAGTTCCAGCCATCATACTTATTTTTGTTAAGTGTTGTTGAGTTGGTTCCAACTCATAGCGACCCTGTATAGGGTTTCCAAGGAGCAGCTGGTGAGCTTGAACTGCTGGCCTTGTGGTTCAAACCGACCTTGCAGTCCAGCGCATGAACCCACAGTACTACACCAGGACTCCAAGTTAATTAAATGTTTGAATAAATCTGGCAGGCTAATTTTTAAATTGATAATTTTGTATGGCCCATGAATGAGATCATATATTTTGGCAGAAAATATGTTCCTCACCCTTGCTTTAGGGAGTCCTGGTGTGTGGCACTGTGGGTTAGTGCACCAGACTGCAAAGCCGTTTGAACTGCAAGGCCAGTGGTTTAAGGTCACCGGCTACTCCTTGGAAACACTATACAGGGTCGTTATAGGTCATAACTGACTCGACGGCACTTAACAACAAAAACAACCCTTGCTTTAGAGGTACGCTTAAGGAATGGAGGAGGAATTTTTACAAGGGTATGCATCCTCATCTATGCTACCAAATCACAGATACCCTGCTCTCCCCTCCCCAGCCTGACTCCCCCAATTATATTTCTGAACATGTCCCTCAGTGATCCAGCTTCTTGTCCTGTTGATTCTTTCTATAGTTTTTCTGTTTTCTATCTCATTTATTTCTGCTCTAAACTTTATTATTTCTTTTCTTTTGGTGACTGTAGGTTCCCTCTGTTGGTCTGTTTCTAATTGTTGGAGATACTTAACATATCCCCCAATACAAGACACTGCCTGTGATGAACACCAGCCACCCCTATCTGGTGAGTAGGGAGAACAGAAAAGAATGGCTGAGAGTCTTGGGGGTAGCATTTCCTAATAAGGAAAGAGCTTCTGCTAATGGGAGACAATGTGAAGCAATGAACCAAGTCTGGTTCAATGCATTCATGACTATAGGGAGCATACGAGGGGCTTCAAAACGTTCATGGAAAACAGAATTTTAAAATAATGGAATTCTTCCACTAACTTTCTGAAACCCCTTGTTATAAGCATGTGGCATTTGGGTATTAATTCTAGGTAATTTTTATATATCCTTTCTCCTTGACTAAAACACAGACACACACACACACGGGGGTGTGGGATGGGGGTAAGGGGGGAAAAGGCAGATTCAAAATTTATTGAACTATGGTCCTAATTATACAGATTATTTTTCTTGCCTTACTTTTTTTAATGTTTTTTTCTTTCTAACCAAATGAATGCTTTCAATCAAAAGGAAAGAAGGTATAGTTTAATCTTGACTGTCTGTAGGACTATATATACTGATGAATCTTGGCAGAGTATCCAACAACTATGGTCATATGTGCAGCTACAGACCATGACTCCTTACGGCCTCATGACAGAAAAAAGTGCATTACGAATCATTTTCACAAAGGTCTGTTTTTCTACACTGCCTTCTAGTACTGACTATTCAAGATACAATACAGTTTGAAGTTTGCTACAGGTGCACCCAGCCACAGGAATCTGATCTCTTGTAGAATGTTAAGTAATTTGAGTCTAAGAAGGTGGGCTAATTGCTAGCAAAAGTTGCTAACTCTGAAAGCCCCCTGGTGAAAATGAAGGCCTTTGTCTTAACTGGTGTCTCTAGGTAGAAGCTAGTTGGCAGTGCTGGAGAAGTGGACAATGGGATAAAAGAGGTACTCTAAAGCTGCCAGACATATTATAATGGGGTCTAGAGTCTAGCCTCTTTTTAAAGTGTTAAAGAGCAAAGATGTCAGCTTGAGGACTAAGGTGTGCCTAACCCAATCCATGGTATTTTCAATAACCTTAAATGCATGTGAAAGTTGGACAATGGATAAGGGAAACCGGGTAAGAATTGATGCTTTTGAGTTATGGTGTTGGTGGAGAATATTCAAAGTGTCATGGACTGCTAAAAGAACCAATAGATCCATTTTGGAAGAAGTACAGCCAAAGTGCTCCTTGGAGGCCAGGATGACCAAACTTCGTCTCTCATACTTCGGACATATTGTCAGGAGGGACCAGTCGCTGGAGAGGGATATCATGTTTGATAAGGTGGAGGGTCAGAGAAAAAGAGGAAGACCTCCCAAAAGGATGGCAGCATCGATGGACTCAAGCATGACAACAGTAGTGAGGTTGGCCCTGGACCAGGCAGTGTTTCGTTCTGCTGTGCATAAGGTCACTATGAGTCGGTGCTGACTTGATGGCACATAACAACAACAGAGTCTAGCCTCAAGTTGTCAGAGCTGACCAAAGAATATACTGATTCAAGGAAGGAAACTCCCATTTTTTAAAATGAGTCCCCCATCTCTCCCCACAAAGTTTCTTTTATTTGGAGACTGTCTCAAACTCTAGAGATTCCTGTTACAAAGAGATTCAAGAGAAAGGAGTGGCAGATGTCTGAAGATCTAGTCTACTGAGAAATTCGTGTCTAGGATGGAAGCTGGGAGAAGCACCAAATCTACATGAGATCTTCTAAATTTCTCTTTTCTTGCAAAAATAATAATTACCATTTTTTTTAGCAGTTACTTTGTATCAGAAACTGAACCAGTTGTGGAATGAAAGGGGACCTACTGTGTTTGTATGCGTGTGTGCGTGAGAGAGAACTATGTCATAGATTCTATGACTAAATGAGTGAGGAGCTAGCTAGGGTAGAGGAAAACAGGAATTTCAAGTCTGAAAAATGTCTTTAAAAAAAGTCATATAATTTGACCATATAATTTACTGTCTAAGCTGGGATAATTCTGAAAATTAAAGAGGCACCATAAATACTGATGTCAGGATAACAGGGATAAATTAGGGCAGTCTCAGCAAAGTAGGACATAATGTCATACTATAAAAGGGTATTGTCATTTCTCTACTAAAATTCTTCATCTCCCATCACTTTAAGAATGAATGCTAAGCCATAGCTTATCTCTATACCATGGGCATAGACCTCAATGACAGCACACATCAAAATGGATGAGAACTTGCATTTTCTTATGTTGCCCCTACACCCGCCAAGTCTCACCCAGACCAGTCTGCAAACTCAAGGGCAAGAGTCAACTATCCAGCACTCTATCTTAATACTTGACACTCACTCAGATATAAAACCAACTGCCAGAGAGTTTATAATGACTCACAGTGACCCTACAGGGCAAAGGTGAACTGCCCCAGAGGATTTCCAATGCTGTACCCTTTAAAGCAGATTGCCACATCTTCCTTCCATGGTACATCTGGTAGGTTCCAAGTGCTAGTTTTTTGGTTAGCACCACCAATGACTCCTCTGACACACACACTAACACTCAGTACCTATGGTAGATAAACTGACTAGATGGGACAGTAAAATCCATGGTTATTCATCCTCCTGTTCACAGATTACAACAGAGATTAAAACAGTTCCAAGAGCTATTTTAAGTTTAGAATTACATGCAGAACCTAACTCTAACTACACCAGTCTCAAGGCTGGGAGAAGACTATAGTCTTGTGTTTTCACATATAAGTATGAAAGATTACCACTCTGAATATATATACTTTCAAACTTATACAAAGTTACAGATCCTGTAAATCATACACAAACTCAGCATAATCTATTTCAAAACTCTCCACCCAATATCATAATGTTTTATAACATATTTTCCCTCCATCTGGGCTTTTCCCACTCATATCCATTCTCAGCTGTTGTCTCCTAGCTATGTGACCTTGTTGTTGGTAAGTACCGTGGAGTTGGTTCCAACCCAAAGTGACCTTGCACAGGGTTTCCGAGGCTGTAAATCTTTACGGAAGCAGAAAGCCTCATCTTTCTCCCACGGAACAGCTCATAGTTTCGAACTGCTGACCTTGGGGTTGGCAGCCCGATTCGTAACCACTACGCTACCAGAGCGCCTTATGTGGCTTTAGGGCATGCCATTTAATTTAGCCTCTCTGTGCTCAGTTTCTCACCTACATAATATGAGTAACAATAGTACACACTTCACTGGATTATGAGGAAGATGAACTGAGTTACCACATGTAAAGTGCAATGCCTAGCTCTGGTAGGTGACATTCTACGAGCGTAGAGATCTTTGTTCCTCTGTTCCCTGCCCAGAACCCAGAACAGCACCTGACAGAGCAGATAATCGATAAATATGCTGAAAGTTTAGTGAAGCTGTGCTTCTCTCTTCCATGTATTTCTCTCTAGGCCCTTGCTTTGAATCACCAGTGCCACACACTCTATATCCCACACACATCCATCTCTCCATCAACAGAAAGCCAGTATAATGCTCTTATTTAAAATAGGTCACTGTTAACTAACGAACTATCTACACTAGCAGTCAGAACAGTTTCCTTAAACAGATTATGTAACATTTCTGAGTTGCTTGCCTACCAGCTGTTCAAATATAGATTACAAATGAGGGCTGGAGAACAGTTCCAAGAGCTACTGTGAGTTTAGGATTGCATGCAGAACCTAACTATAACTACTCCAGGCTGAGGGCTGGGAGATTATTGCCTTGTACTTTACATTTAAGTAACAATGATTAGTACTCTAATATAAACATTGAAACTGATACACAGACCCTATAAATCAGATACAGTAATACAAACTCAAGTTTCATCTAATTTAAAAAAGAATTTTACAAAAAGTAAATTACCTAAAATTAAGCCCACCATTGTACTTAAATATCCGGTTCCACTTCCTAGGTTAAGAAAAGACAATCCTGGTTGAAGTTTCAATGCTTCCATAACTTCAGAATAAATGCAAGGTGCAGACAAGTGGATGTTTCCATGCTTCCAGGCCAAGTCTTTGTAAGCACTGTCTCTGTAGCCTTCCAAATAGTAATCTCCACGATCAATAGCTCTGAAGGCTTGCTCTACTCTTTCAGTGCGGATATACTGAGCTTCTTTTAAGTTATCAATTAAGTCATCATTATCTTCTCCAGCACTCACAGCTCCTCCCATGATTGTATTAAAATCAAATCATAAATGAAAAAATAAAATTAGCAGAAATGGCTTCAATAATGATGTGGCTTGTTTTCCTCTTATTATTGCACTTGATTTCCAAAAATACATTAATCCTGGAAAGGAAGAATAAAAACAAAGACATTTAATTTAATGCTCAAGAGAAAATAGTTCTAGTTTATTAAATATATAATTCATATAATAGTCATTATAATTAACTGCCATTTCTCAAGGGTATATTGTGTGCCCAGCATCGTGTTAAGCTTCTTAAATATGTTATTGTATTTAATTCTTATAAAAATCTGATCTTTAAAAATAGGAAAACTGGGACATAGTGATGTTCATTATGGTAGCCATTAACCATATATGCCTAGTTAAAACTAAAAAGTTTTTTTACCACACAGGTGATTAGCTGAGTGCTTAACCACTACACCACCAGGATTCATAGCCACATTTACTTGACCTCGAGGTTGGTTTGAAACTCAAGGTCGGCAGTTCAAGCTCACCAGCTACTCCTCAGAAATCCTATACAGTGTTGCTAAGAGTCAGAATCCATTTGATAGCACTTAACAACAATAGCTACATATAATACTAGTTAGTGTAACGAACAGTGCTGTCTTATCCTAGGTCACTCTGTGAATAGAACGTAGGTGTTAATAACTAAGTTATAAGGCTTTCTTTATAGTACGATAATCCGAGTTGAATATGTACGAGTCACTTGATTGATTTAAAATTCCTGAATTTAAAAATCCACTACCAATTCCAAATTTTACTATGTAAATTTAAAATGTTAAGATGAGTAATATACCCAAACACAGAATACTAAATGTAAAAACAAATAGAGCCACATGTTAGTCTAAGCACTGAAACATATGTTGCATTCACATGTGTGTACATGTGCAGACACACACAATATGAACTTTTTTAGCATATCAAACTCAGCATCTGTGAATGGAAATATAATCACAACTTGAGGAAGTTAAATAATAGTTTCGATATATTAAATGAACAACTTAACTATAGGTGGCAAATGAATATTTCAATTACTAGATTGGGGGGTGGGGTGAGAAACGTAATACCTATCACCAAAACCCAGAGTTTGGCAACCACCTCTAGCAAGTCTGCACTCCAGTCTTGGCTGTAGAGAAAACTGGCACTCAGACTTGACCTTCTTCAGGTGTCCCTACTAGACCTGAGACACTGTCAGGGCAGTGCCTTCACCTGAACCTGTCACATTATCTTTGTCACAGTCTCCTTCATCCTATCCCCTGCATTTCCTTAGGAATTTTCTAAGTAAAGGAAATTCTGTGACCTCACATCACTCTTATTTAACTTATTCAAACAAATTTATACAAACTTGGAGGACTCCACTGCCTGCTAGCCCAAGCAAAGATCATTTGTGAAAACACAGGCTTTACAGTGTGCTTATTCTCTGCAATAAGTATGTGTCCTAGTGTATATGTACTGCAAAGGGAGATGTCAATCTGCTGTTCCTTTAATAGTATTTGTTTTGACATTCATTTATAATTTACATATCTCAACTTGCTGAATGCAATGCTAACACTTCAAGTTTGGTGTTGGGTTTGTTGGTTTTATATGGCATGTTTTCTAAGAACAGGTCAAATGTATCTGACTCTCAAAGAGTGAAGTTCTTCCAAATATGGAATGAAACATGGCTAACCTAGACTGATTGGGAGTCAGTCTCCATCAGTCTTTAGTGTATCACCTGCCAAAGGATCTTACAAAAGCAGTTTTAATTACACAGGTAATTACTACAAATGCTACAAGTTGCTAGTTAGAACAAGTATTTCCCTCATACAGGTTTCTAGGGTTTAAGAAAGACCTGACCCTTCTCTGGTCCTTCTGAACTCTTTCCTATCCAAAAAATATCATAGGAAAATAAAAAACAAACATGATGTTACCACACAAAAGCATGTATTCTCAGTGAGAAAGAGGCAAGGGGAAGAATCAAGAAAACATTCCCTGATAGAGTTATGTATACATTATCTCATTAAAAATTTAAATAAGCCTATGAGGAAGGCATTAGCATGTTCCCGTTCGCATGGGAAAATATCTGTAGAGCAAGAGAATGCTAACAATACTGGAGTCAGTTGCTGCAGGAGCCCAGATGACCTCAAATAGAGGATGGGATCTGGAAATCAACACTGCCCCTACAGACATTTACTGTGAAACACAATCAAAGGAGTGGGGAGTTGTAAGTTAAGGAGCAGCTGCCATTAAAGAATGCACACATTGTTTTTGAAAAATTACATGCAGTTTAAAGTGCTTTCCAGTACTACAAAGGACCTTTATCCTGCAGGATTTGTTTAACATAGACCCTTTTGAAAATCTGAACAATTTACAGATCCTGTCGTGGTGTGGCGCTGTGGGTTAATGCGCCAGACTGCAAAGCCATTTGAACTGCAAGGTCGGTGGTTCAAGCTCACCAGCTGCTCCCTGGAAACCCTATACAGGGTCACTATGGGTCGGAACCGACTCCACGGCACTTAACAACAACAACTAAGCTATTAGGAGTCCTGGTGTGCTGCTGCAGGGTAATGAGCTGGACCACAAGGTCAGTTTGAACCACAAGGTCAGTGATTCAAACTCACCAGCCGTTCCTTGGAAACCCTATACAGGGTGTCTATGGGTGGGAACAGACTCAATGCCATTGAACAACAAAGTTATTAAAAATAAACAAATGGAAATTTTGCATACAATTCCAGAAGGTGCCTGAGTTAGAGTCCCATGCATATACTCTGACTAAAGAGCATCATCCACTGTGCTTCTCTCCTGGTGCAGGCATCAGCACTGGACATGTCTGTGGCTGCACCTTTTCCCTCGTGACTACACCGGCGCAGAGCTGCCGCCCTTGCCATCTCTCCCTTCACCTTTCAGTAGTATGAAATGAAGCAGTGGTCATTTCTGGAAGGAAACTTGCTCAGCAGATCAAGCAAGAAGCTCACCAGGAGGTGGAACAGTGGGTGGCATTGGGCAACAAACGGCCACACCTGAGCAGGATTCTGGTCCGAGAGAATCCTGCAAGTCATTCTTACATCCTCTACAAAACTAGGGCTGCTGTAGATGAGGGAATCATCAGTGAAACAATTTTGAAACCAACTTTGATTTCCAAGGAAGAACTGTTGAATTTAATAAATTCAACAACGATGACAATGTAGTGGCCTCCTTGTTCAGCTTCCTCTTCCAGAGCACATGGATGAGAGAAAGGTCTGCAATGCTGTTTCTCCAGACAAGGATGTTGACGGCTTTCATGTAATTAATGTGGGGAGAATGTGTTTGGACCAGTATTCCCATGTTACCAGCGACTCCATGGGACGTGGGGGAGATAAATAAGCGAACGGGAATTCCAACCCAGGGGGAGAATGTGGTGATGGTTGGACGCTCAAAAGCTGTTGGGATGCCTATTGCAATGTTGTTGCACATAGATGGGGCACAGGAACGTCCTGGAGGTGATGTCACTGTTACAATATCTCATCGGTACACTCCCAAACAGCAGTTAAAGAAACATACAATTCTTGTAGGTATTGTGGTGTCTGCCACAGGCATTCTCAATCTGATTACTGCAGATATGATCCAGGAAGGCACAGCTGTCATTGACGGTGGGAATAAATAGGGTTCAAGATCCCGTGACTTCTAAACCCAAGTTGGTTGGGGATGTGGATTTAGAAAGAGTCTGGAAGAAAGTCAGGTACATCACTCTGGTTCCTAGAGGCGTTGGTCCCACAACAGTGGCAGTGCTAATAAAAAATACCATCATTGCAGCAAAATACCTGCTGAGGCCTGAAGACCGAGAAGTAAAGTCTAAAGAGAGTGGAGTAGCATCCAATTCACTGTTGTACTATCTGGTTCATCAGCAGCACTCCAAGCCAGTTCAAGAAGCAAAACAGGCAACAGAATTGTGATACTTTTTACATATTGTTCTGAAATTGTTTAAAATAATGCTTTATATTTATTAAAAACCGAAATGGGTGGATGTTTGTCCACATCACTTTGCAGTACCTCACAGGTGAGCAATCTAGTATCATTCTAGGTGTCTTAGGAGCTAGCCAAGAGTAGCCATTAACCAAGTGATTAACATGGGGACATGTCACATTGAGAATGGATGTTGGACTTTGTTAAATAACTTCAGTTGTTAAAATTGGCCTTTTCTAGGATTGCATTTCCCAAGTGCTACTCCAGTAGGAGTCGATACTTTAGGTTCCAAACCTACTGAGTTCAACTATTCAAACCAAAGGAAAAATGTTGCTGGAGAAAATTAGGGAAAAGACAAAAAGGAAGAAATGATAATAGCTGGGTATAAAAAAGTTATTACTATTGACTGATAACCAGGTTTATATAAAATAAAATTGAATTGGGTGAGAAAGCGACATGTTACTAATATTCCTAAACTGTCATATTGTAGATTAGTTATTTGGAAAATGTTTCGGGTTGTGCTATTTGTTACTAGCTCTTTTTTTGTTACTAGTTTTATGTATGTTACTATTCAGTAAGGTCTTCCATTTTAGTTTTCCAGAACTGAAAAGCTTGTAAGTTATTCATGTGTGTTGTCATATTTGGTCTTTAAACTTTCTTGTCAAATTTTGTGACTACTAAAGGGTATCTATATGATTTCTTGGTCTATCTTGAAACCTATTTTTGAAAAACAAAATAGATACAGTGTTGAGCTTGACAATCATTAGGTAGCATAGATAATGATATGCAATTCATTTTTCCACCAAAGAGTTGTCATTAGCTGCCTGATTTTCTCTGATGTACCTGTTGACTTTCCTGAAGGTTTTTAAGAATTTACGTTAATAATTGAATTTAACCAGACTTTGATGACAGCTTTTAAAATGTTATTATTATTTTTTTTAATAAAACACTTCTGTCTGGTATTAAAAAAAAAAAAAAAGAGTATCTACTGATGGAGCCCTGATGTGGCGCTGTGGGTTAATGCACTGGACTGCAAGTTTGGTTTGAACCTCAAGGTTGGTGGTTCA